ATGGGAATTTGGGGGCGTAGGAATTCGGGGATATGGGGATTCGGGAATGTAGGGAATTTGGAGGCGTAGACGTACTGGGATATAGGGATTTGGGGATGTGGAATTCGGAGATGTGGGATTTGGGGGCGTAGGAATTCGGGATATAGGAATTTGGGGGCGTAGAAATTTGGAATATGGGAATTTAGGAGCGTAGGAATTTGGGTGCGTAGAAATTTGGGTGCGTGAGAATTTGGGGGCGTAGGAATTCGGAAGATGTAGAGATTTGGGCGTGGAAATTCGGGGATGTGGAAATTTGGGGATGTGGGAATTCGGGGATGTGGGAATTTGGGGGCGTAGGAATTCGGGGATATGGGGATTCGGAAATGTGAGAATTCGGGCATGTGGGAATTCGGCGATGTGGGAATTCGGGAATGTGGAAATTTGGGGATGTGAGAATTCGGGAACGTGGGAATTCGGCGATGTGGGAATTCGGGGATACAGGAATTTGGAAATGTGGGAATTCGGGGATGCAGGAATTCGGAAATGTGTAAATTCTGCGATGTGGAAATTCAGGGGCAAATTAAAATTATAATTCGCATAGTCAACGATCGCGTAATAACATACTGACAAAACATTTCAAGTTCTTTCGTCTCAATATTGTAGCTGTAATTAGTTCTGACTGACGCACGTGACAAATAATCCATAGTGCAACGGGTTAATAAATAATTTTATTCACCACGATTTTATTCAGTTCGAAATCCGTGCAGGAACGATTCGAACACAAAGGCCAGTATTAATTTAATCGAACGTCTGCATCTAATTTCGTGCACCGCAGCCGTTGATCGGACAAACTGATTCGCTTTCACCTGGAGGATGAACATCCCCTCGTAATCCATTCCTATTCGAGGTCGTGCTGATATCATCGAACATCATTCGCACATGAAGGCAACCCTAACAACAGGACGCAAACGTCAACAACGTTATTGGACATGGGACGTCCAATCAAACCTGTATTCATAGGACTCCTCTCGTTTCATACGTCTCTCCGCCATTTTAATTCGACTGCTTTTAACAGTAACTTCTTTCCAAATTAATAGTAACTTGCAACGGAATTTCTCTCTCGAACAAACTGAACTGTCGCAGAATTTCAGATTCGGTAACTCGATCAGACAGAGCTACTCTCGAATCGAGGCTGCCTCAAAGGACTCTGATTGTCCAAGTTCCCCTCCGCTCGATGAAAACCGGGCCTGCCGAATTATTAATGGTCGATGGTTGTGCAACCGATCCTTCATCGCGGAGAATCCTCGCCGCAAGTTTCCAGGGAGGAACATGACGAGTATCCTGACAAGCAGCCTGTTGCGTCACCTGACCGATCAATATCTGGATGGGCGCAACACCCGCGACTATTCTTCCTATCTTTCCAACCAAGTGCGTCTCCGTTCCGCTAACTGTTCCGCAAACCTGCAATTTCCTGCTAAACACGCTCGAGCTTAGAATATGCAAATATCCCGCATGTTACGACGTAAGACGTCTTCCAGCGTCCTCTAACAAAGGCCGGTTTGTTTGCAGCTCGTGCACGATGTCTTTCATGCGATGCTCTAAATCTTTGAACCACCGCTGGGCGAGCTTTTTATTTGCGCTCGACAGCTGACTCATTTTATTTCATGTGCAACATGTATTTTTTAGAGTTGTATATGTGAGGATTTCATTGTGAAGGTTTCAAGAGAGGTTACCTTCGTCTTTGATTAAATGGTTCATCATTTTATTTCGTACATTTGGAATAAGTTGGACCAGATCGAGTTGTATGTTAAATGTGAAGATTTCATGGTTTCAAGAAAGGTTATCTTCGTCTTTGATTAAATGCCTCATCATTTTATTTCGTACATTTGGAACAAGTTTTCAACCAGATCGAGTTGTACATTAAATATGAAGACTTGATGGCTTCAAGAGATTCGGGAATGTGGGAATTCGGGGATGTGGGAATTTGGGAACATGGGAATTTGGGAATCTGGGAATTCGGGGATGTGGGAATTTGGGGGCGTAGGAATTCGGGGATATGGGGATTCGGAAATGTGGGAATTCGG